TAAAAACCAACAAAAGTGATCCGGTCTCTAAGTGTGTCAAAAAAAAAATGGTCGCAACTTTTGTATCAAAATCGGGTCATGTGGCAATGATTGCTTTAGAAGATCGAAGAACGGTTACTTCTGATTGGTATATGACCGTTTGTTTACCAGAAGTTATCGCGAAATTCAGACAAAGTAACACACAACGGCTAATCATCCTACATCATAACAATGCAAGGGCCCATACTGCCCAAAAGACAATAGAGTTTTTGGAGCTTCAAGACATCACATTGTAAAACATCCACCCTGTATCCCCGACCTAAATCCCAACGACTTCTTCACGTTTCCAAAGATTAAAAATTCCATCGAGAAGAAGATATACACCAGAAGAAGCCATCGGTGCCTTTAAAACAGCGATTATGTAGGTGTCAACTGAAGACTGGAATAGCTGTTTTACCAATTAGTTTGAACGTATGCCAAAGTGTATGGATCTTAGTGGGACATATTTTAAAAAGCAATAAAATACTCTGAGTCTATATATTTTTTGTCTTTTTGCTATATGCAAAACTAATAAGAAAACCCTCGTAGTAAGAAGTAAGCAGCTTTAATACCTGACTCTTTAAACTGACCGACCGAAATTCATACCATTTTTTTGTACTTGATTTTTAGAAATAACAATAAGTGTATATTTGATCCAATCTTGAGGAATACATTCACTGTTATAGGTAGTGTTAAATAGTTGGGCCAGAATTTTTCTTCGTTTATTTATTCGAAGTTTTAAGAAATCTTAACAAATATCTGAACCAGCTTCTTTGCCGTTTTTCAATATATTCATAGTCTTTTTTACTTCTAAAATCATTATAATTGGCGCCTTAATTGGAAAACGCGTATACTAGTTATCGTCAAAAAGATCTGAAAAATAGATTTACCATAATTGATGGATTCGACCGTTACTTGATGGAAATTCATTTTATGTAACAATAAAACACTGAAAACTTTGTTTTCAAACTTCCACAAAATTTATTTTAAATATTATCACTACAGCTGTTTCGGCTGATTGCCTTTCTCAAGTGATCTATTTTGGCTTGGGTTTACAAATTTATAGTCTCTAATGAAATAGGTTGAGGAGGGAGAACTGTTTGTCTCAAGTTGGTCATTCAGAATTATATCTGTGTTTTTTAATTTGTTGATTTCCATAGATTCTAACAAAGATAGCTTAAGGCCTTATTTTGAATGTGAAGAATTTTAAATTTGTCATTAAAAGAATGATTATGATCTAGAAGGTGAAGTGCGTATGTCGAATCTGTTTTTCTATTCTTGAAAGCCCTTTTATGTTCTGCTATTCGTTTATCAAAGTTTCTACCAGTTTGACCGATGTAAATTTTTGGGCAGTCGCCACATTGGAGTTTGTATACACCACTATTTAAGTGTTTTTTATTTTGGCTCTTGTTATTTTTAATATATTTGCCTAGGTTGTTATTTGTTCGGAAAGCTGGTGTTATTCCTTTCTTTTTTATGTGTTTGGCAATTTTTGTTGTTATTTTGCCTGTATATGTAATCGAGCAGAAGGTACTGGGTTTTTTCTCTGGTGGTGGAAATACTAATTTCAGGGCTTTCTTGTGTAGTTTTTGATTTAACATTTTAATAATTGTTTGTTCGTTGTATCCGTTGTTTACTGCTATTTGTTTAATTATATTTAATTCTGTCTCAAAGTTGTCTTTTGACATCGGAATTTCTGTTAATCTATGTAACATACTATGATAAGCTGCCAGTTTATGTTGTGTTGGATGGGATGACGAATTGTGTATAGTCGTGTCAGTATGGGTAGGTTTATGAAATATGGAGAAGTCATGTTTGTTTTGAAGTCTGCTAATTTTTAAATCTAAAAAATTTATGGATTGATTTTGTTCTGTTTCTATTGTAAATTGAATATGACTATAAACTGAATTAATATATGATAAAAATTGGTCGAGTTGCCTGTTAGTTCCTGTGAAACATACCAGTACGTCGTCTACGTATCTCCACCAATATAAAAACTGTTTGAATACGGGATGTTTTGAAATCTTTGTCTCTAGATGATCCATAAAAATATCTGATAACAATGGGCTTAGAGGATCACCCATTATAAGTCCTGCACTGTTATTTGTATATATTTTATTATTAAATTCAAAGTAGTCCTGGTTTATGCAAACTTCTTTACCATACTTCTTCCATGCAACTATGTTGTATCAAGGAATGTCTTATTGTTTTGACCTACTATTTTTGAACCTATTTCCTCGATTTCCTTGGTCCTCATCATGCATAATTTTAGTTAGATTAGTTAAGTTAATAAATTCTCCTTATAATCATATTTGGGAAACATTGGACATACCACACCTGACAAGTGTTCTATGTATTTTATCTATATACAAACATTATTATTCCTACATACCAAACTGAATTTTGTAATATATACTCTCAAGAAGATCTTAAGTAACTATTCAGATTACATTGCAATCTATTCAGATGGGTCAAAATTAGTAACATGTACAACCAGTGCTTACTTTGTTATCAATCCAGCATATTTTCCGCTGAAGCATATGCTATATATAATTATAAATCCCTTGAATGGTGTTGTGAAAACCAGTGGAACAAAATTGTGGTGTGCACTGATTCATTATCAATATTAAATGCATTACAAAACAAGGTACAATTAACATCGATATTAAAACATTAATAATGTTTTAGTGCAATTAATATATTCATATTAAAATTTTTTCAACAGTTACTAAAATGTTCAGCTTTATCATATGATGTTAAATTCGTTTGTGTTAAGGGACATTCAGACATATTGGGTACTATGTAATATTGCGGATTCAAAATCCACTAAAGCACCCACATATATTGATAGAAGAATTGAGCACGTGTGATTTCCTTGCATATTTGAAACAGCATATTAAATTTACATGGGATAAACGTTGGATTCAGTCTGCCTGTGGTGAAACTACAGGCACTAATTTGTTTAAATTAAAACCAACAGTCGGCTGCGAACCAATTTTACAAGTCACACTAAGCAGAAATACAGTGTCGACCATCCTAAGATTAAAAGTAGATCGTGGATGTTTTCCGAAGCATCTACATAAAACTGGAGTTCTCCCAACAGGCAAATGTGAGCGTGGAACTAGTATAGCTGATCTCATATTCTTTAACTGCCCTTACATGTTAATACAAGTTCGTGGCGGCTTCAAGACTTGCTGAAAGCAGGTTTAAATACGCCAATAAACTTAAATGTACTATTAACCGAAGATAATACAAAAAATTTTAAATTGATTATGGTATTTCTGCAAAAAATTAAAGCTGTGAATGAAAAATTTGATCGTTTGAATGAACATTTTCATTGTATGTGTACCTATTGTTGCCCACCGTGGTTTATGTCTTGTGTGTTATAATGAAATCGCTCTAATCAACCCCTGAGCGTGAAAAGTATTCTCCCTGTACAATCCTGAGTGAATGAATATTAATATTTGCATGTAATTACGTTGCTAAAGGTTCTAAACCAAGGCTAAAATACAAAAAACAATTATTTCAATTTGCTTGTTTTTAAGTTTTCGCCGTTGTTATAATAAATCTAATATTTCTTGAGTCATTCATGATTTATTTTATTTTTTGTTATATTTAGTTTTACATTCCAATGCATCCAAAATTGTACTTTTAAGCAGACTCAAAGTGTGCTGCATGCTTTCTTCAATTATTGTAGGTTTGGTCTCTGTTTCATCACCTGTTGGAGCACATACTTAACTGATATTTATAGTCTTCGGTGCTGCCTTGATTTGAATTATCATTGCCTTGTAAAAAAGTGTCACGAAGTTGATGACCGAGCGATCTGTTCTAGGATCTATAATACTTTTTAGCATAATACCAATTTTTAGCAAATTAATACCAAATTTTAGCATAATACCAATACCATAATGATTGGAATCGTCGGTATCCAGAATGGTAAAAAGTATAAGTATACATATACTTCAGATTTTCCGCTGTTTGTTAATCTCTCACAGTTGGTTTCTGTTACTATTGCTTTTGACCCCGTGAGTATTCGTAGCGCCGCCCCCCTATTAATTAAGTTTCGCTACGAATTATGGGTTTTTCCTTTTATTGCTTCTACCATAATGGTTTTTTTTGGGAACTAGTAGTTGTTTCTTGCTTGGCGTACCGCTATCCAAACTACTTTCTGTGGATTCCATTCTGCTGTTTTATGCAGCCAGCTGCCGCTACTCAATTTTCTCGCCATATCTGTCTATCCTCACTTAGTTTGGCCTACAGGCTGATGCAGATATTAACGTGTGACACGTGGAGTCATAAGTGAGGGTTGACTTCTTGTGAGGACTAGTTTCTTGAAACAATCTCCAGTTTATGACCCTTAGTGCTCAAAACGAAGGTATATATTATCTTAGCATTATCAAGCACTTAAGTTATTTATAATTCATAGCAGTTCCTTAGTGTTCTGCGGTTATCGGCGTTAAGTAATGCTTCCTAAGTTCACAAATACTTTTAAATGTTTTATTTTACTAACAACTTTTTTAAATGGCAACTTGTGATCTAATTTTAAAAGTTAATTTTTTAGCATTTAATCTCCATCTTAAATTTGTATTGTATAATAATTTAGATTGAATGGGTACTTTTATAGTAAATAAATTCCTTACATGAACTTTACGTTGTGTGCATGTTTATGATTCACTATCTAATTAGCATTTTTGATCCTTCAGCGTATATCATACATTATAATTCTGTACAATTATAATTTTTTTTTTCTATTGATTAATAGAACGGTTCTTTTATTGAGTCATTCAACATGACTTTTGTACTTGATGGTACTGTATAGTAACATGTCAGATGTTTACAATATTGTTTTGGGTTTTATTGTAGATTAGTTGCAAATCTTAACATTGTACAAAGTTTCATTCATTTAAAATATTTTTATTATTAATACAACCTCAATTTATAATTCTGTACGCATATTTTAATTTAGTTTTTTTTTGTTTTAGAGATTTACTCAGTACCTAGCATCCAGTAACAGTACATTTCAACTTAGCAACTTCTTAGATAAAGGGGGACTTCAAGGTAAATACACTAGTAGGTTATTGCTATTACTTAATAAACCAATCGACGGCTGATAGACCAATAAAAAGTAATAAGCTGCTCGTCAAAAGTTAGATATGTTGAAAGTCTATACACAATAAATTTTCAAATATCACTGGGAAATAATTCATTATTTTAATATAATTAACATAGCGTGCATATATTTAAGCCGGAAATATATAAACCCAAAAAATTTCGTAAAAAATGGAATATCTGATTCATATTCAAAATCAAATAATATATATTTTTTATTTGGTCGCGTGTCATCCAGGTGTTTTCATAATTCCTTGGAAGTGTCTGCAAACTTCCCACTAAACTTTAAGTACATGTTGGCTGATTTGCACCTAAAGTTGACGCAGCAGCAGGTACCTTGAGTTAGGAGTTTTAGAGTGTGATTAATCTACATATTATTTTATTTTACAAATTTGTCGCATCAACCTTAGGCCCTGCGCATATTGAACCCAGCCGAGGCTCAGCACACGCCGTCGAAATGCGTGGATAGTTTTGTGAAGCACGGTTGGAAACCACGAATTGAAGCTCTACTATCAGCTCATGCACACACACGTCGAAAGGTTTTGTCATCAGCGTAAAGTTTTCGTGGGTCGTGGCGTGCGTGTTTCACTCCCACTACTCCCTGTTGTTTACTTTTGCTTGTTTTTGTTTCCGAGATGGATATAGAGAAACTGATTGAACTGGTTCGAGATCATCCCGTGGTATATGATACCAGCCACGAGGACTGTATGAGGACGATATTGAAAGGTGAAGTATGGGAGAAAATAGGAAATAAATGAATACACACGGTAACTTCTCGATTGAAGTCATTTTAGCAACTGGCCACGGCGACAGCCCACGGATGGGTTCAATATGCGCTGCGCTAGAAAAATAAATGCACGGATCGCCCGTGGCCTCGGCGTCTGTTGGGTCTCGGCTGGGTTCAATATGCGCCAGGCCTCGGCCTTACCGTTGCCTAGAGTTACTACAGACATCTTTACGTATTTAAAATATTTTGTTAATTGTTCTATTTTACAAGTTTCTGTAATATTTCACATACAGATTTACTGATGTGATTCATTTATCTTTCTAATTGATAATTTGGACAACCGTCCTAAACGTCTTAAAAGTACGGTATTCACCAAAATAAAGAGTCTCGAAAGATCCGAGAGTCAACATTATATTTATTTTTAAATTTACGTGTTCAAAATGTGCACTATTGCGGCGCAAACAAGCTTCATAACGATTTTGCAGATTAACCAACCAACATATTTATAAATAGTGGTGGCTGCAGTTGTTGAACCAGGTTATTACAGTTTGTCGTAGTTCTCAAATATCTGCAATGGTGGAACTTCTAACTTAAATACTTGTCCGAAAACCATACATTTCTTAATAAATCGGGATTTTCGTACACTAGACTCAACACTCGTCCACAGTAAACTATTTTTGCACGTTTGTTTGAAACTTTTAGTTTTTGTACAATTTGAATCCGGTAATGATAACCAAAAAGAGATTTGAACAGTCGACGTGTGGATGTTGTGACGGGTAGCTCTTTTAGACAGGTCAGTAAAACACATGTTAAATTTAAATAAAAATATGTTCGAAATAAATAAATAACAAAATAAAATTAGATCCTGGGCAATACGTACAATAAAAATTAAAATGTCATTTCCGGTATCGACGGCGCTATGACTCACTGTTTATAACTGCGAGAAATAAATACAACTAATGTTGAGGTGCCACCAGATAAACAATCTAGCAGAAGCGGTTGGTCTTCGGTCAACACCCTAGGGCCAGTGGAGTTGTTCCCAGATCAACACTCTGATAGAACTCCGGACGGTTGCCTTTTGGTCAACACCCAAAGACCTGGTGGAGTTCCCACCAGATCAGCTCTCTGGCGAACTCAGGAACTCTATTCTCTCTTGCAGCGTACGTTGTTTTGTACCGTTGTCGGTCTTTCATATGCAGCGCTCATCGATGGACGTGGAATTTAGCGGTGGGAGTGCGTGCGTACAGAGCGGAGATCAGCCGGCGGCGACAGCTGGCGATGCACATGGTTACAACTTTTCACTGGTATTAAGTTTATACGCAGTACATCGAAGGCTTCGATGCGGAGACTGTAAGATCTGCTCTAGAACGCGTCCCTAATTATTGTTGCTAAGAACTGTTTTTAGACGACTGGAAGAGCCCTTCAGCTGACATAATACACTACCAGTATTACGAAATTTCTGAACGATTGCTGTCATTACACTTTTACCGGGGACCGCTTTAGTAAAAACTTTTAACAAGGCGGTCCCCGTGGATTGAAGTTTTTCTGACACTTGTTTTTAAACTGGACCATTTTTCCGTCCATTTCCGTATGAACCGAAGTAATAAATAATGCTTTAGTATAAATTTTCTTCTCAGTTGTGAGAACCATTTGACGACGATTTTAATGTGACAAATAATCCTAATTAAATAAATACGTATTTATGCGTAATTTCTCAGCTAAATTTCTGTACTGTTTATTTTGGCGAATCCCGTATATACTAACACTGATTGGAATATTGCAATTCGTTACATGGAGATAGGTTAGTGCAACGAATTATGTTGGTACGTCCACGCCAACGTCCCTAACACCGTGATTAGCCCTGTTAAATATTTTGAATATCCACGATTTAACTGATCTTTGTATTTCGCGAAGTTGGGATGTTAAAAAGATACACTGGAATTGCACAGTTTTCGAGCTTTCCCTTAAAAAAACTATTTTAAATCATTTATCGTGATCATATTTGGCTCGACAAACCATTCGTTTTGTCTAACTGGTTTGGTTTTCCCCAATATTTCCGATGCCTTCTCAGTTACTATATTTCTACATTTTGTCCACAATTCCTCCATGTTTTCCCCTGCTTTCAGGCTCTTTATTTCCTCATCAATTTGTCTCCGATAATCTCTCTATTTCCTCATCCATTTGTCTCCGATAATCTCTCTATTTCCGCCTCCATTTGTCTCCGATAATCTCTCGCAACGGTTTCAATGCGCAGATTATTAACATTAATTCTGTCTTGTTTCATATGGTTATTATCCTTCTTTAGGTTTAAAGTTCTTCCTCTGATTTTTGCCATTACAAGAAAGTGGTTTCTTTGTTTGGTCTCGGTATCTTCTGACATCCATGAGGTCATAAGAATGCCTTGCATTTATTAGGATGTGATCTATCTGGTTAACGGTTTCGTTGTCAGGTGATTGTCATGTTCCTTTGTTTATTATTTTATGGGTAAGTCTTGTTCCTCCTACTATCATCTTTTTGGTCCGTGCAAAGTTTATTAGTCTCAACCCATTATCATTTGACTCTTCATGCAAGCTCTCACGTCTATAGTTGGCTGAAAAAATTGCTCTTTGAAAATTTTTGCATTAAGGTCCCCAGCAATTATTGTCACGTCATGACGTGGACATCGATCATATTCTTTGTCTAAGGTATCGCAGAGTTCATATTTTTTCATCGTCTTCATTTTCTTCCGTGGGTGCGTGTACACTAAGTAAGTCATTTGTTTATGGGTTTAAAGTCAACGACTAATTGCTTTGCTTTTTTACTGGCTAGAAAATTCACTGTCAAACTATGTGTCGGATGCTATGTCCTCTATAATAATAATATTGTAGTCTTTTTTCTCGATAATTCCTGAACCAGTCCATCTCATCTCTTGAATCGCTATTACATCGACTTTCATTTTATCTAGTTCTTGTGTTAGCAATTTAAGAGCGCCTGGGGCATAAAAAGTTCGTACGTTCCATGTGCAGATCCGTAAATCGTTATTCCTTTGTCGTTTGCTAGGGTGTCGTGAATTAAACAGTCCGGCTTTTCTTCTTTTTGCTTTCATAACAATAAGTTTTTTTATGGGAAGAGGTCGTTAACCTTTTGCCCAACTCCGTAATATTTAAAGGACCATTTCTCCCACTGTCGTTTGCCCTGACTCTGCTTCCCATTGAGGTTGGTTGCCACAATCTTCCACAGAATTGCTCAAACTACCGGGGTTTTAGGGCTTGGAGGTGAGAGTCGGAATTGAGTAGAACAGGCTACCGACGCTAACAGGATACAGCGTCATATTTTGCGCATCACTATCCCATTTTAAATCATTCAGCACTACATTTTTCTCACTTCATTTGCGGTTTCACTAGTTCTAGAATGTTGCGCATGTATAGTAACTAGATTTTTTTAATTAAGAGAGCAACTGGGTGTGTGGTAAAAAGTTGGTTAATGATTTTGATGTAACTCAGAGTTCATAATTATAAGATTTTTGGATATGTACTTGCTAAAATATACAAAACTGATAATTATTACCTGAGATATCGTACCTGAGTTTCAAATTCTTTCGATTTCAAGTCTACATTTTCACTTTTAACGTTGCTAGCTCATTCCCCCACCACTTTCCATATTGGAAATTCCTTTTAGAAGAGCCTTACAAATCGGTATTTAACGTAAAAAATTAACGTGTCTGCAATGGTGATTGGTACGATAAAGTGCTGACTGATTTATTACCGGAGTTTAAAGCCTTAATGTTAACAAGTAATCAAATAACGGATTAAAAAATAAATGGGTATCTCGATTAAAAATGATCCCATAAAAACTTTTTTTTAATTCATGAAAAATTACCAGCAAAATGAATTTAAAAATAGAATTATTACACATCCTGCAAATATAAGTCTAAACGAAAAAAAAATAGCCCTTATATAGCCCTAAATAAAACGATAACAACCGCATTTATAACACACTAATTTAAATTTTTTCACAAAATTTTGTGGAATATTTATATAATTTTTGTTTATTCTAACGGCAATCTTAAATTTCAACGGGTTTTCTCATTTTTTTTAAACAAATTGTATTCTTTAACTGGCAAAAAAAGTAAAAACTTTTACTCAATGTTTAAATAATTGTTCCATAAAATTTAACCAAATCTTTCATAAAAATATTTGCTTCTTATCGAAATTCTGATTTGGAATAGGTCCGAATTTGGTAC